TTTATTTATTTATCTATCTGTCTATTTATTTATTTCTTTTTCTTTTTTCTTTTAATTTTTATTTTAACCCAGGACTTCCTGCATGTTGGGCATGCACTCTACCACCAGAGCTATATCCTACCCCTTTCGGATGTTTGTTTATTAAACAGTTGGGAGCATGCTCTTGTGGCCTGCCATTCCTTCATTTCATAGCTATCTCCATGCCATTAACTTTATTTCCACAGTACTACTTAGTTTACTCTATGGAAATTTTAAAAAATTAACAAAAATAGAAGGAACTGTATAATGAACCCCCATTATGCATATCACCCAGTCTCATCAGTCATCAACTCATGGTCATTGTCATGGTCATGGAACTCATTGTTTCATCTAAACCAGGGGATGGAAAACTGCAGGCAGTGGGCCAGATTGGGCCTGCTGCTGTTTTTTGTTTTTGTTTTTTTTTTTTTTGCTGTTTTTATACAACCATAAGCTAAGAATGTTTTTCACATTTTTTTAATGGTTGGAAAAAATCAAAAAATAATATTTTGTGATACGTGAAAATGATACAAAATTCAAATTATACTGTCCATAAATGAAATTTGATTGGATCACAGCCAGTAAGAATAATTGAGGGGGTAAACAAAGTTTATTCTAGGAAGAGCAACTCATTGAGGGATAAAACCATTTTAAAATTTACATATGTTTACTGTTCATTGTTTCTAAGAACAGTTTAGAGCTTTAGCTTTTTAAACTTACATAATTATCAAAGGAATAAAGCCAACCACAAAATAAGAACCAACAGAATTTAGTAATCCAATCATAAAGGACAGTCAAATGAAAATACACAAATATTAAATATATAGCTTAATAAGTTTTTATATATGTAGTCCTTTATTATTTTGAAACAAATCTCAGATACGTTGTTTTATTCATAAATATTCCATTATACAGCTGTAAAAGATAAAGACTTAAAGGCCATACCATTATTCAAAGTAAAATAATTAACAATAATATCTTCAGATCATCAATGGTTAAATTCCTTAATATTGAATATCTAGTCAGGGCTCAAACTCTAATGATTATCTCAAAGAATTTTTTTTCGTCTGTTCAAATTATGATTCTAGACAAGGTTTTGGTTTCTGTGTCTTTTGAGCCTCTTAATCATCTATAGTATTGCTTTTAGTGGTCGCTTCCTTTCCATCCTTTGGAGGGTCCATAACTTATTTTCTCAGTCCTCAGTGATTGGGCATTTAGGTTATTTTCAATATTATGGTGTTAAAGACAAATTTGTGATGAAGGTTTCTACAGTTAAATCTGTGCACACATCCATGATTATTACCTTAGGATAAAGTTCTAGTAATGGAATTACTAGTCAGATGAGAACCACAAGTTATCAATGAATGAACAAGCAGCATATTTCACATCCAGCCACTGAAGACTGGATAATCCAACTTGGTCTCTGAAGACTCTGTACCCCACTCCACCACAATTCCTTTCCAAATCAAAAAAGAAAATGATTGAGTCCCAGGTAATTTGCATTTGTTTCCCACCTGGTTCTTCCCACAACAAAATGGGATAGGGCAATTAGTTGAAACTAAGAACTAGAGAAATTTAGAGAGAATAGAAGATCAAGATATAGGTAAAATTGCTGGGAAGACACACAGATCATCTGGCCTTGCGTCATATAAACTGAGGTAAACATTTTATCTGTGAGCTTCCTGGCAGCCACAGTGAAAAGGGCAAACATGATCAGTAAGATGATTTGCATTCTCCATCAAGAGAAATCAGTTCATAAGTCCAGCTCCTCAGATTTCTGGGCCTCTTGCCTAAGAAATTTTATTGTTGTTTTCCTAAGGGCCAGTTGTTTTCAGGTCAGTGTGGCATCATCAATAGTTGTTCCAAAGAGGCTGTTTTTAGTTTAAAATTTCTGGCGTGGAGCATGTGCAGTGTCTTGGAGCATGAGCGGTTTGTTGGTTTTCCATGGCTCCTTTGCCGTCTCAGAGTTTGTGGAGTCATGCTCTAACTCAAGGCCATCTCTGCTCTTCCATTTTCGGTCTTTATTACTTTTTTAATCCTTGTAAGGGTAACATATATGTGGGGGCAAAGATTGTAAACAGTATAGCAAAGTAAAAATTAGAAAGTGAAATATCTCTGTAATCTAACTTCTACCTCCTTCCCAAATTACATAAACTAGTATGTAATTTGGGAATGATCCTTCCATATTCTTTTCATTATACTTTTAACCTCATCTATGTGTGTAGGTGTGTATGTATAAATACGTGTGAGTGATCTTGTTATAATCATGTATTTTTCTTTACCGTACACACAAAATATACACACTGCATCTTCTGTTCTGCAAGATTCTTTTTTTACCTGTTGATAAAATATATCAATAAATGTAGTTTTAATACATTTTATTATAGAAATTTCAGTTTTAAAATGTATACAAAAATAGATTTTACTGAAGCCCTTTGTGCTTATCAGCCAGTTGCAAATATTAATTGGTGGCCAGTGTTGTTTTGTCTGTCATTTATCTCCACACACCCCTAATATCATCATCATCATCATCATCATCATCATCATCATCATCACCACCATCACCATTATCACCATCCTCGTCACCTTGCCAGTTCCTTGTTATTTTGTTTAGGATTTTTACTACTGTGTTCATGAGACATGGGCATGTAATTTTCCTTTCTTGTATTATTCTTGTCATGTTTTGTCATCACAATTATGTTGGCCTCACATAACGATTTAGGAAGTATTATCTGGAAAAGTTTGGGGAGACTGGTATTATTTCTTTCTTAAATGTTTGGAAGAATTCCCTAGGGAAGTTATCAGGGTGTGGAGTTTTCTTTGTGGGTAGGTTTTAATTTATGAATTCAGTTTATTTCAAAGATATAGTATCATTTAGATTATTTCTTTTTATGTCAAGTTTGGTAAATGGTGATTTTCAAGTGATTTGTCCAGTTTGTCTAAATTAGGGGCCAGCAAGCTTTTTCTGTAGATGACTAGATAGAAATATTTTAGGTTTTGTGAGCCATATGGTCTCAGTTGCAGCTACTCAAATCTGCTATTGTAGGTTGAAAGCAGCTGTAGATAATATGTAAATCAATGAGCATGGCTATGAACCAATAATATTTATTTATGGACACTGAAAGTTGAATTCTATGTAATTTTCACATCATAAAATGTTCTTTTGGCTTTTCCCCCCAACCATTAAAAGTGTAAAAATCAGGGTGGGTATAGCTTAGTGGTAGAGCGCATGCCTAGAATGCACAAGGTCCTGGGTTCAACCCCCAGTATCGTCATTAAAATAAATAAACAAAGAAACCTAAATACCACCCCTAAAAAAAATAATAAAACCCATTCTTAGCTTGTGGGCCACATTTGGCTTGTAGGCCATACTTTACTGTCCCCTGATCTGCACTGTCAAATTTCTTGTCATAAAATTGGTCGTAGTACTCTTTTATTATCCTTTTAATGTTTGCAGTATACCAGCCCCTTGTTAATGGGCCTTTTTATTGTTTCTAATTTTTCTTTGATATATAATAGTATAATAATAAGAATAATAATAAGAATCACAGCTACTGTTTCTTAAGTGCTTACTGTGTACCATGCACCATTATAATAAATTCTAAGATAATTAACTCATCTGATTTACCCAGGAACGCTTTGTAATAGGTACTATTATTATCCTCCTTTTTCAGATGAGGAAACTGAGGCATAGCTAGTACATAGTCTAGCCAAGGACTCTAAAGCAGTGAAGTCATAAATAAGGGAAGAACTATAATACATCTTTGTATATTTGTCAAATATTTATGTAGGCCAAATTCTTAGATGTGGGTGTCTTAGGTCAGAGAGCAAACATGTGTAAAATCTAAAGAGTATTTCTCAAATTGTAATTTGATGTTGTGTAATTAGCTTCCACACGTGGCCACAAATCATTTACAAGGAAGCCCTTGTCCCAGTATTTTCCCAACTACCAGATAAAATCAGTGTTTTTCATTCTTGCTATTTTTACAGTGGCATATTCTCTCTTATTTTAATTTACTTTTCTTTAATGGTTAAATGAGCACCAGCATCTTTTCACATATTTATTTGCCATTTTTAAATGGAGGTACTGGGGATTGAACCCAGGACCTCATGCATGCTAAGCATGTACTCTACCACTGAGCTATACCCTCCCCACCTTTATTAGCCATTTTGTATTTCTCTGTAAGTCTCTCCTTTCTTTCTTTGTCTTTTGCTTACTGCTTTTTAACGGCTTTCTGTGTATGAGTAATATGAATTTTGAAGTACACATTAAAACCTTTGTTTTTCCTTTTGATTAGGTGATGTTTTGTCTCTCAAGCTTGCTGTGTGTCTCCCCTCACTAGAATATAAGATCCTTGAGGGAAGGTATTTTGGCTGGGTTTCTTTCCTTCTGTGTCCTCAGTCCCTAGAACAGTGTCTGGTATTTAGCAGGTGCTCAATAATTGCTTTCTGAGTAGATGGATGCTTTTTTTACTTAGCAATATAGCAACTTGTTACCTATCAATCTACTTAGAGCTTCTTTGTTGCTTTTAATGGTTGTGTATGGTATTTCCTTGTAGGGATTGAAGCATAGTTGATATTCATCTAATCCCCCATGAGGCTGTTTTCATTCTTTTGCTATTATAAACAGTACTGTAGTGAAGTATCTTCGTATTTGCTGATTTGCTCACATATATATGTATTTATGTAGAATAATTTCCAGAAATGGAATTGCTAGTCAGAGATATGTACATTTAAAATTTTGGTGCATATTGCCCAATTAATTGCTCTTAAAATATATTGTACCAGTGTATACCCACCATTTGAGTGTGCTTGACATCTTCACCAACTCGGTGACTTAAGAAACGCTAATCTTTGATAATATATAAAGGAAACATGGTGTCTTGGTTTACTTTGCATTGCTCTTCATGTCAGTGAAGTTGAGCATCATTTCATATGTTTAGAATCCATTTGCCTTTCCTTTCCTGTGAATTGATGGTCATGTCCTATGATTATTTTTTGAGAGGTTAAGTTGTTGATCTCTTTCCTTTTGCTTTGTAGGAGCTCTATCTATTAAGTACATTAGCACTTTGTCCATCATATGTGTTGTGTATATATCTTCTCTCCAGTTCATTGCTTGTCCTTTGAGTTTGTTTATGGTATATTTCACCATATATTACATAAAGTAGTCAAATTTATCAGAGTGTCCTTTTGTGGCATCTGGGTTTTGTAGCATGATTTGATAGAAGAGTCTTCTCCACTCTAAAATTATTTTTAAAAATGTATTCTCTCTTTGTTTTATGGCTTCTCTTTTTCTTTGTTTAAATTTTTGTTAGATCTAAAATTTATTTTTGTGTATGGTGTGGAATAGGGAATCCAACTCTGCATTTCTTTCTGAAAACTTCCCAGTTTTGAGTAATCTGTCTCTTTGACACATTTAAAATGCCACCTGTATTATGCATTAAATTTCCCACTTCTGTTTGCATCTATTTTTAGACTCTCTAGTCTGTTCCACTAGCTATTCTTGCTAATGGCAGGATTTTACATTGTTTTTCTCATTAAGTATGCTACACAAAGTGCAAAGTAGGCTTCCTACAGGTATTGCTGTGGTAAAAATGATCAGAAGGAGCAGATTGTACAGGAATATGCTGTTATAAGAACCAGTGACATTTGAGGATGTGGCTGTGGACTTCACCCAAGAAGAGTGGCAGCAGCTGGACCTTGCTCAGAAGACCCTACACAGGGATGTGATGCTGGAGATCTGCAGCCACCTAGTCTCTGTGGGTAAGGGCAAATTCTCCATAACAATGAATCAAATCCTCTTTATCTTTCAGTGCTGTCAAGACCATGACCTTTGTGATTTTCCATTAAAAGGATGCTTTCTTTTACAGTTTCAGTTTTTTATGTTTATATTTTTGTTTTATCTGGAATTCATTTTTGTGAGTTAAAGATTAATTTTTCCTGGGAGTTCCCTGAAATTTCTTCTTCTCCTCATGAATTTCTCAGCTGCCAAGGCCAAGGCCATTGTAATTTTCCCTTAACAGGGTGTTCAGATATAAAACCAGATATAATCTCCAAGCTGGAACATGGAGAAGACAAGTGGATCATAGAGAGTGAGTTGTCAAGGTGGATCTACTCAGGTAAGTGAGAACTGGGGAGATGGTTGAGAAGGTGTTTTCTTCTTCCTGACATGAGTGGCCTCCTTTCTTCTTTAAAATTCATAAAGCCTCCTTTTTTAACATCCATCTTACATCAGCCACCTTTTTAGAACTTCTGTCCATTGCTGTTTTCTTTTTGGTGTCTATTTGATCTTAGCTTTTTTCCCTCCTTCTTTCAGACAGAGAGGAAAGCCCTGACTCTTCCCAGCAGATCATTTCTGGAGAACTTTCATTTCAAAGGGAGACATTGGAAAGAACCCTAAAGAATAGTTCACTGTACTCTCTCTTTAAAGTCTGGCATACTGATGGTCAGATGGATAAATATCAAGGAAACCAAGACAGAGTTTTAAGGCAGTTCACTGTCATCAGCTGTGAAACAATTACAAGAAGAGAGGCCCTAAATGAAATACATTTGGGAGAATATTCAGTGGATGTATAGATCTTGATCTTTCATGTACAGAACTCCATCACTTTTGATCCATGTGAAAAGAGCTTGAAATCTAATTTAGATTCACTGACTTGTAATAGGAGCTATTCAAGAAAGAGCCACACTGAGAGATTTGGATGTGGGAGACCACCTAACTATAGTGCTTCTTGTTCTGTGCCTGAGAAAATTCACATTGGAATGAAATCCCATGGACATAGTCAGTGTGAAAAAGTTCTCAATCGTAAGCAAGCCCATATTCAGTATAAGAAAGTTCAAGCTAGGGAGAAGCCCATGTTTGCAGTGTGTGTGGGAAGAGCTTTATTAAGAAGTCACAGCTCATTATACATCAAAGAATTCATTTTGGAGAGATACCGTATGTAGGTGGAGATTGTGGAAAAGCCTTCAGTGAGAAATCACACCTCATTGTGCATCAGAGGATTCATACTGGGGAAAAACCCTATGAATGTACCGAGTATGGAAGATCTTTCTCCCAGAAGTCACCCTTCATTGTTCATCAGAGAGTCCACACTGGAGAGAAACCTTATGAATGTTTTGAGTGTCAAAAAGCCTTCTCCCAAACGTCACATCTCATTATACATCAGCAGGTTCATACTAGAGAGAAGCTCTTTGAATGCAGTGAATGTGGAAAAGCCTTCGGTGAGAAGTCTCACCTTTTTATACACCAGATGACTCATACTGGGGAGAAACCCTATGAGTGTACTGAATGTAAGAAGACCTTCCCTCGGAAAACACAACTCATCATCCATCAGAGAACGCATACTGGAGAGAAACCCTGTAAGTGTAGTGAGTGTGGCAAAACCTTTTGCCAGCAGTCCCACCTCATAGGACATCAAAGAATTCATTCAGGAGAGAAACCTTATATATGTACAGAATGTGGGAAAGCATTCTCTCAGAAATCACCTCTTCTTATACGCCAGAGAATTCATACGGGGCAGAAACCAAATGAGTGTAGTGAATGTGGCAAAACTTTCTCCCAGATATCACCCCTCATTATTCATCAGAGAATTCATACAGAGGAGAAACCCTACGAGTGTACTGAGTGTGGAAAGGCCTTTTCCCTGAAGTCACATCTCACTATCCATCAGAGAGCTCATACTGGAGAGAAACCTTATGAATGTAATGAATGTGGGAAGGCCTTCTGTGAGAAGTCTCCCCTAGTTGTACATCAGAGAACCCATACTAAGGAGAACCTGAATCTGCTGATTATGGGATAAGCTTTTCCTGGAAATCACAGATGATCACATATCAGAGAACACACATGGAGGAGAAACCCTCCAAATGCAGTGACTGTGGGAAGGTCTTCTGCCAGCATATACACCTCACTGGACATCAGAATCCACATAGGTGAGGAACCTTATACACGTACTGATTGTAGGAAGGTACCCCCGCCTCAGAAATCAGACCTCATTATGCATGGGAAAACTCACACTGAACAGAAATCCTATGGGTATGTTGGACATGAAAAATGTGGCACCTTCTTAACTGTAGAAGAGACTCATATGCTCCCAAGTATATCTGATTATGCCTCCACAGAATAGTCTGGTCAGGCCTTCAGAGTGTTCTGGTTTTTTTTTTCCAGTCTTGATCATCTTTTTTTTTTAAATTGAGGTATAATCAGTTTGTGATGCTGTGACAATTTCTGGTGTACAGCACAATTCTTCAGTCGTACATGAATATACTTATATTCATTTTCATATTCTTTCTCACTGTAAGCTACTACAAGACATTGAATATATTTCCCTGTGCTATACAGTATAAACTTGTTTATCTAGTCCACATATACCAGTCAGTATCTGCAAATCTCGAACTCCCAGTTTATCCCTTCCCACCTTCTTCCCCCTGGCAACCACAAATCTGTATTCTATGTCTGTGAGTCTGTTTCTGTTTTATATATAAGTTCCTTTGTCTTTTTGTTTTTAGATTCCACATATTAGTGATATCATATGGTATTTTTCTTTCTCTTTCTGGCTTCACTTAGAATGACATTCTCCGGGGACATCCATATTGCTGCAAATGGCGTTATGTTTTCATTTTTATGGCTGAGTAGTATT